CAAGTATAGCAATTGATACATTTTAAGTGTCTACGGTTATTCATTTTTGAATTACAACAAAATAAGACAATAGCTAGGCACTTGAGAAATCGAGTGAATATCCAATATGTAGTAAAAATTTAACTTCAAACGCTCATAAAAATTTAATTTGACTTTCTTATGGACATTTTTTCTTTTGATAAAGGTAGAAAACTTATATGGAATCTTATTTTACATTTTAGAATCTTAGATTTAAAAAGAAAAATTTTTAGAAATTCCTAACTCAAAATAATTAGCAAGTTTTAGTGATTTTTACGTTTTTTGTAGTGTATAGGTAGAAAATGCGAATATAAACAATGAGTGAAAATTACATGTAACAGTTTGTAAACGCTAATTGAGAACACTCAATATCTTTGCGTAGAGCCCTGCAATTTGAATTTTGATTTCTTGTTGGTTGTTATCACATAAAAATACACCTTTTTAAAGCCTTTGAATTTCAATCAGAATTTAAATTACAGGGCTCTACGCAAGGGATATTGAGTGTTCTCAATTAGCGTTTACACACTGTATACAGTAATTTGTTTTCGAGTTATACCAAAAACAAAAACTGATTTTGTCGAAAATTTACGTTTTTCCTTAATCTTTATGTTGTTTTTCCCGGCGCTTTTGAAAACTATTGGGAGTTTTAAATGTTGACCACCCAAATGTACCAACTAGAATACTAGATTCACTTTTCCATCGAGCAAGATAATGCTAAAAAAAATCGAAGCAGTTTTACTGCCCCAAACGGTGATGACAGAAGAAAAAAAACACACACTTATCATTGTAAAATCAATACATTTATCACTCCACTCAGAATCTAAAATATTAATACTCAATATCTCAATATAATATTAAGTATAATTTTATTTTAAATAATAATAGCTTATAAAAGTACCTATGGATTTTATTAATTTGTTAATTAAGATTGTGCGTTTGTGGCTTTGAAAACAATTTTAAATTTAATATCTGGAATGAAACATATCTACATACCTATCTACAGTTGCGTCCGCAGGGAGAGCTAACGGGCTGAAGCCCCCCCCATTGGCGTATTATTATTACTTTTTCAAAAAAATATTGATCAAGTTTAAACTGTCAACTATAGTGAATGTCATATATATGTCTTACCAGAATGAACTCATTATTGAAAAACATTGTATTTGCATACCGATTTTCATAAATTATCTGTAATTTTTCGGTAAAAGTATGAACTACGTGTATGAAAGACCTTGTATTAAATTGTCTAGCCTTAGCTATAGGTACATATTTTATATTTTATAAGTTTTGAACTACAAATTAACAGTGGTTTTGGCGAAATTTTAACTTTAAATGCTTATAAAAAAATAACCATATGATGCCTATGTATCGTTAATATTTTAGCTATAATAAAAAAACTTACGTATTATATTTTTAAGCTTTTTGACATTTATAGAAAAAAAAATTTTAATTAATCAAATACAATCCAAGTGAGGACGATATAACCAAGCTTGTTACCAAACAATTTAAATAAATTTTTATTTTTTTTCTCCAATTATTTTTAAAAGCACTGAGTATTTTCAATTTCGACCTCCTAAAAGTACTAACTAGATCCAATTTGCTTCCAAAAACATACACTGGGCATCGACGCTTTATGATCAGAGCATTTTAATTAGAAGATAAAAATAAAATTGAAACTAATTTTCAAGCCCCCCCCCCCCCATCGAAAACTCCTGCGGACACCACTGCCTACTTAGGTTATTGTCGTTTTTCTACAATACCACTCGTAACTATATTATATATATTTTATTACTTTCTTATCATGTTTCGACAGACTGGCGACAGCCACAAGACTGTTGTTGCGCCAGAGAACTTCATAAATCATAATAATTAATAAATATAAAATAATTATAATATTATATTACGTTATTGGATAATACGATATCAATTTATCTTATAGCTTATTTATGTATATCGCATATCGTAACCACGAATTAAGATATTTATATGTATATCTTAATTCATGATCGTAACCTTAATTATAAATCTTCGTTTTGTAATTATTATAATATATGTATAATAGCAACGAAATAAATGTAACGAGACCGCGAAGATGAGTTGAATAACGCGTTCGGCCGCGGCGACCCGTTACCAGCTGCGCCGTGTCGGTCGGACGGTCAATGTGCGTGCGAAACCATTATAAAAATAATATTACGATTTTACTGGTGCAATATAAATATAACACAATTATTCTCATTGACTCATTATTACAAATTTTGTATTTATATTTCATACACATAAATAAGAATCTATATGACTATATTCTATATATAATAATATATAAAAGACGAGAAATGTTTATTAAATACCTATGTTCTTAATAGTCCTTTATGCATTCCTAAACAGTTCATCTGATTGCTAAGAAATTTGGTACAGATATAGATTAGACCTTGGGGAAGAAAATGGGCTATATTTTAAATAAGAGGTCCAACCCGGAGAGGTTCTCAAACAGGGATTTTTAAATTTACGATGGAAATTTTTGTTAATAAATTATTGCTATTGGTGTTAATAATAATAATAATAATAACAATAATTTATTATTAATGCGATAAGCCTGTCTATTTTAGAACTTTTATTATACACTTACGTACGCACCACGCATAATCAAAAGCGAATATCACGGACAACGCCGGTCGGGATGGCTATAAATTAAAATATAATATTGATTCCACAGCGTGTTACACACCCAAAAGGAGTTGAACAATCACAAAAACCTAGCAAAGCATTGCGGAGTCAGCTAGTAATAAATAAAATATTATAAATTAACCCACTATGTTAATATTATTATGCTATAATAAATTCTCATATTAAATGTAGGAAAACTTATGGAGAATCTAGTATGCAATTTTCAAATCTTAAATATACATAACTACATAAGACAAATTTTTTTGGAATTTCAAACTCAAAATAATTTGAAAATTTTCGTGATTTTGACGAATTTTGTCAAATTTTCAACTCCAGATGCTCATAAAAATTTTTTGTGAATTTACTCACAACTTTTATTTATTTTCCACTAATAACAACTTATGAGGAATCGTGTGGCTATTACATTTTTAAATTTTTCGAACAAGAGAAATTATTTTTATCGATATTAATGAAAAATGAAATTTTTTTATGCCTATAAATAGCTCAAAAAGTTTAAATATTTTGAAAATATTAGTATAAACATTCGGTCAAAATATCACTATTTTTTTTATATAATTACACATTTACACCAATAAACAAAATTGATATTTGGAAAAATGGTTTTTCCAGACGCTTTTGATAGGTAACTAGGTACCCAATGAGAATGATTATTTTTAACCCTCAAAAGAACCAACTAGATTCACATTTCTACCAGAAAAGATGCTGAAATAGAAAATTAAAACATTTTTACTTCCCTAAAAGGTGATAATAACAAACACAAAAAAACACACGTCATGGTAAAATCAATACATTGTGCTTGTGCATGACAAAGAACTTTTTCTAAAATTTGATTTAATTAACTTTCAAAAGACAACCGAGGTTCAATAAGCTAGATGTAAATAATTTAAGTTATAATAATCGATATAACATATTTGATATTATATATTGATGGTAACTATCGATTTATCATGAGCAACCACAGCAACCGAGTCAATACTTACTGAGTAAATCTACTTACTCTAGTAAATTAAATAAATTAAAATAGAATAAAATTTATAATATTATGGTTAAAATAAAAGACTTTTTTAGTTTTTTTAAAACTAATTTTAGCACTTATTTAGGATAACATAACTTAACTGGTTTAAAAAATTATGGTCAACTAATCTTTTGACATAAGTTTTCTATGCACCTATAATCTATTTACTTTGAATGTTTACATTCAATAGATCTCATTCTCAATACTTTGATAGTTTGATGGTATTATATAAATTCATAAAAGCTATCATTTATTGTTGTGCATTTGAATATATAACCAAATATTTTTTAACTTAAGATAAATATATATTTTATATGTGTAAACTAAATATTATATACATTACAATATTATATAATGTATATCATACATCATTTCCAATACAGCAAAAAAATAACAATATTTTTTAAAATTTAAACTAATGTACAATTATGCATACATTTTCATTTTTTTGCCGAATACATGAAATTGGAACATAACACTGAGAATAACGAGAAATCATCATCATAGCCATTATCAAAAAAAATTACAAAAAATAGGGAAATTGCTACATGAGAAATCAAATGATGAATGCATGTTGTAAAAATGTCTTCAAACGTTTCAAGCGCTCATATTTAAGTACAAATAATCAATAAAATTATAAAAATACCATATCAATTCTATTATCATCAACAACTGTCAACTAATAAGTCAATAGAAATCTCAATATTGTTGAGTTGTTACAAAAAGTTTCAATATTTTAGGTAATATTATTTTTTATTAAATTTTATGTATTTTACATGATTCACATTTAAATATTTGAAATATGTAAACATAAATAAAAACTTAAAACTAGAGGTGGGTCCAACTGTTAGAAGTTTGAAAAATTGAACTGAGCTTTAAGTGTTTGAAAATCAAACCCAATTTTAAAAAAAACCAAACCCTACTCGAACAAAATACAAAAAGTTCAAAATTCAATAATCAAACTAAAATAGTTTGAATTTCAAATAAAATTAGATTATGTCATACGCTAATACGTTTCAAACAATAAATCTTTTATATTTTATATTTTGGTTTGACATAAAACTAAAGAGTTTGATTTAGAATTTAATTCAAAACATCATTTTGAATTCAATTTGGTATTAAACAAAATGATGGGTCTGGTTCAAATTCGATATTTCGGTTCAACAAACAATTAAAAAGTTTGATTGGACAAACTATTAAAAGGTTTGGTTCAAGACCATATTTTTAAGTTCAACCCACCTCAGTTAAAAACCTATAGAAAAAAAGTTATTGTACATATCAATAACTAACCTATAAAAGATTTTTCGTCTTCTGATTCTTCATCTTCGACATCAGTTTGATGAAGACAATCTTTTACATTTTTGTCTGGTTTCATATCTAAGTATTCTTTATGAAATCTGTAAGAATATAAATTACATAAAATAATTGAAATTGTATTGTTAAATTAAAATAAATAATAATTATCTACTTTTCAGGAATTATACCATCCTTGCATAATTTAGTTAAGTTATTGAATTTGGCATTTGAAATACCAATATTTTCTGTATAGCAAGGTATTTTTGAATTTCTTCTCTTTTTGATCATCACTAATTTTTCAGGGTAAACATTTGTGTATGAATTAAAAGTTAACAAATTTATTTTATTTTCCTCTTTTTGGAACAATACATATCTTAATTTAGAAATTGAAATTTTTTCACCTCCATCTGTTTTCAAATGATTTGGAAAAATTGAACTTGAAAAACATGTCCACTCCAAAAAATCAGAAGATTTCATTTCAACTATTTCTAGTGGCCTTGGATTTGTGTAGTTGGCATTTCTAATCAATGTTGGCCATTCGCTAGGTGCCCATACAGTCTTATTTTTAATAAAATGATCAATAGTAGCAATCAAGGATTCTACAGGCATACAAGGTTGACCAGGAAGTAGAAAAACCAACTTAATTTCTTTTATAAAATTAAGTTTACACTCTAGTGCATGATACATCATCGCCAGCATTGCTTTATTTTTGTTTCGTCTAGCACTAGAGCGACAAAGCAATATAACAGACGTCACAGATTTTCTTTGGTCAACTTTGATCAAATAATCCTGTATGCAAGACACAATTTCGTTACTACCTCTATTTCCAGTAGTTTCTCCCCATAGATAACAAAATGCATTTTGTGTAATATTTTCGAAGACAACTAAATTGGACGTACCAAATTTTCGGCTGTAATACAATTTCTTATTGTACCCTATTGGCGTGCTTAAGACATTTTGAATATCAAAACTTGCACATACCGTACTGGGATCAGTTATTTGTTGATGACTAGTTACTAAAGCTTTACATTCATCCTCATCTCTCATATTATGTGATTTTTGAATTTCTTGTTCACAGTTGGGACTATTCGTATTTTTAAATGAAACACATAAATTACACTTCTTTCTTTTTGGTACATGAAATCCCAAGTGACTTTGTTTTTTAATTATATTTTCAAAACTATATTTAGATACTGGTTCATCTCCATTTATTTTACAGTAATCTTTATATAAATCATAGAGCTGAATAATATTCGCAATCTCTGTTGGCAAATATTTCTTGTTGGAAGAAGCACTACAATAACGAGACGATAATGCTGGTAATTTGTTGATAAATTGGTAAACTTTAAAAATAGCTGAATTTTGAAATAGATTTTTGAATATAGTCATCTTACAAGCATTATTTATCTCAGAATTGGCTCCAAAAATGTCAGTTATATTTTTATCAACTGTAGGTAGCTTATGTATTTTAGATTGGGTATTATTCTTTGACTCTTCAACATCAAGATAACTTTCATTTTTACTGACAAATGATTTAACTTCATTAATATTATGATTTTTTTTTGTGAGTGGTAAACAATCATTTGATACATGGCTTACATCTGCACATAAACTATTACCATTTATTGTTTCTATGGGACCATTAGGATTTACAGTTTTTTCTTCTTGTAAATCATCATATTGTGCTGAATCATAAAATTTACTTTTAGAAACGATTTTACCATGATTTTTATTTTCTTCTGAACTTACTAGTTTCGAATTTTTGATAGTGTAAAGTAGAAATTTTTGTGATATATCTAAAGTAGTCAATAAGAATTGTTGACATACTTGCTTCTTTTCAGATTTGAAAGATAAGAAATATTTATATGAAATTGAACGCCTACTTATTAGGTTTTGTTTCCTTTTTATTGGTACTTTACCTACACATTTCACTAAGTAATTTCGTTGCCTTGGTTTATTACCTAAACTCCAAAATGTGTCAAATATATATTTTCTGTCATTCTCAGTGAATTTTTCCCAACATTTATGTTGACATTTTCCATTTATAATACAAATGTTTGTCTTAACACATTTGCCTTCTCCGTATACTTTTTTCAAACTCTTTGTTGTAGTATTTGATTTTTTTTTTTTCACCATCCTGTTCCATGGTTTCAAATGGTTCTGTCAACCAGAAATATCTATATACAATTGTGTCATAAAATAATTGCTTAACTAGTTGTAAGTAGATTTTTAACAGAAGACATACCTAACCTACCTTGTTTATTATCGTTTACAGTTGTTGATGGTGTGTTATTATTTTTAAATTCTTTCCTAAAGTGCAGTAGAAATCAAACTTTTTACTCTAATTTTTTGGATGCCATCAAATTGGTTTCCTAACACTGCAACTAGAAAAAAATAAAACAATAACATGATTTTTCAATACATTGCAAATCAATATAATAGGATAAAATATGATGATTTTTAATAGAAAATATTAGGTAAAGGTATCACCACGGTATCTAACAAATTAACAACAAAATTATAACTATACTCCAGCCTCTAGGGTCCAGTTAATAAATATTAAATAAGTATACTAAGACGTATAAATAGTGACTATAGTGAGTAGTGATTACACTTACACTGACTAGTGACTATTCTATTACTACTTACTGTAGATGTAATAAATATTCAGACATTCAAAATTACTACGGTAGGTACCTACTATTAAAAATACAAGGTCAAAATTCGAAACATTTAAACATTGTTTTATAATCACAAAATTAAAATATTAAATGAAACGAATAAAGGAATAACGATATATTTATAAATGGCTATAATAATTATTATAATATTAGTGTTTTTTTTTTTATCAAATAAAAATGGTCGTAAGCGTAAGCGTAACCTCCGCATCATAGTCCTTTACAGCCATTTTGACAAGAGTAAAAAGTAAAAACGCGGTAAGATATTTAGTGTACTTGTCGTAACCACAATGTAGGTAAAACCTTCATCGTGGTCGTCACCAACGTGTTACCATTTATAACCAATAGATAAACATAGATTTCAGCTATCTATTTTATCCACAGATATATAAAAATACTAGATAGATAACTTGGAAATGTTTTTGAAGCCAACAAAATGGCCGAAATCACGGACTAAGATATACAGGACTGGACACGACAAGGTTGGAGGGTGTGGGGGGGTTGACTACGAAATGTTTTACAACAGGCAGTGTTCGGGGGGATATTTTCCTTTTAGCATTACTAGCGCCGTCCTAGTGGATACTTATGGAACTAGAACACATCATACAAATTTCTAGTTCCATAAGTATCCACTAAGACGGCGCTAGTAATGCTAAAAGGAAAATATCCCCCCGAACTCCGCCTGTTGTAAAACATTTCGTAACCACAATATTCATCTCGTGTCCAGTCCTGTATATCGGGTGAGCCTAATTGACTGAACTGAATGACTGAATGGACTGAATGGACGAGTTCAACAGTGGTGCCAACGATAAAATTCAAGTCCCATCCCATATAATTTCTTATCACGGGTCCTAGTTCTTATCATGGAACTGAACTGTCCCCATAACCAACTGGTTGGTAACTACCATGGTCGTAACCACGAATTAAAGATACTACTGCATATTATGTTGCCGATGTATTTCTTAAAAGGGTTAGTTAATCTAAAACCGACCAACCCACTTCATGTTTCCACCGTGTCAAGATAAGTAGCACTTTTCGGTTACTGAGTTACTCTGATACGGTTTAAAATATGTTTATAATATTCATATTTCATACTATATATTTATACTAAACGGGCTGCATCACTGCGCTATGTATAAAATCATGGAAATAAATACCTACCGCAAAATATAATAAATAGATTAACCTGTAGGTATCTCATCCACAAACAGACGACCACAAAAGTTCTGAATAGATAGTACATACCTAATATTATAATATACATCTGTCATTTACTAATTAACTATACGTTTATACCTATTGTCCAGCGTTAGTAGATTTAAAGACGTGTCATATTATAATATTATAACAAAATACATTTAGTCATAATCATTTTCGAGACGTATACACATCATAAGCTTTGATGATTGAAATTTAAAGTTCGTCAATTATATAAACAATTTTTCATGGTTAACACTCTTAATGAGATTTACTATCGATGTGATTATATATTTATATGAATAGGTAACTACCTACTTCTAGGAAAACTTCTGGCATAGAAAGTTGTATGTTGCTGGCGTAATTACCAAATGCGAACTAACGTATAAATATGTAATAGTTTTAAAGTCCAATAAATCATTTATAGGTTGTAGATGACGTTCACATAAGATAATATCATACTTTTAAGTTCCCAAACGTTTCGGTTTAGGCCCTTCTAAAACGTACTCCCGGAGCCGGGGGTCCTCGAACACCCCCCTAGGTGTATTTTGGAAAAGGTTTAGTTTTTGTATGACGTTTCTGAAACTCAAGATTTGTATAGTTTGGAGGTCGGTGATCAAATTCGGCGTCTTGTGTCGAGCCCATAGGAGCCGTTTTTCTCCGTCTTTTGGGGCTTCAAAAGCTCAAAATTTGCATTTTTCGGAGTTTTCGTTGCTGACACTTAGATTTTGGGCGTTCCGAGCCGTTTTTGTAGTCGGGCATTATAGAGCACTTTACGCCTGAACGATTGGCACCGAGATTGAAGTGATCCGACTTTTTGTTCGGGAGTTATGATTTTTAAAGTGTTTTTTGTACTTAGAAAATTACGTATTTACGTGTTTTTTAGATTTTTTTTTTTCGTTTGATCACTACAAAATTCTAGAATCTGATCATTCGGCATACGAGGATTCAAAAAACCTCTATGGTCAAAATACGTACGACCATTATTTCGCCCGAAATCGTAGTAGCAAAAAGTTAGAAAACAAATTATGCTATTTTTCGTATTATCAAGGCGTCTCCTTGTGGTATACGTCTGTGTAACGTATCAAGTAATAATTATATTGAACTTTTTTTCACACTTATTTTAGTAGGCGTGTAGCTCATTATTCATTAATGTAAATCGATAGGTATATAAGAATAAAATATTAAAACCTATAAAATAATAGGTCAATTCACTCTAATATATGTATTTGAGCTAACAACACAAAATTGGATGTATATTTTGAAGTACTAGCTCCTTCAAAATAAGTCGTATCGTTATGAAACCTTCAAGGATCGAAGCAGACAACCCTCGAGATCAAATTTATTGTCTCAAAAAAGCCGCGACTCGATTTTAAGTTTGAGAAATTGGCAAAAGAAAATTTCCCGCCAATTTTATTTTTGAAAAAATCAAATTTTGAACTCAACGTTTACCCCCTTAATATTTGAGTTTCAATACTTTTAAAAACTGGGAACTGGTGTAGGGCCGCTTCTGCTTCGATCCTCGAAGGTCTTAGGTAGATAGAATTAATATTAAATGATTTGGTTTTTTTAAAATCGTAATATATCGAAAAAACCTAAAAAGTCTAATATTGGTCGTAACGTCTTGAAATCCTCAAGGTTCAACGCAGTGACACCCCTAAATCAAATATACGTTCTCAAAAAAACCGAGTCTCGATTCTAAGTTTGAGAAATCGGCAAAACAAAATTACCCGCCAATTTTTTTTTTTTAAATTCAAATTTCGAAAACTTCGTTAACCACCCATATATAATTGAGTGAAAAATTATTTTTTGAGCTGGGAAGTCTAGGGTCACATCTTCTTCGACCCTCGAAGGTTTTATAAAGAAAGGAAGATTTAAGAATTTCCAAAATCATAATAAACCTGAGAGCAAAATCCCATATTTTAGACCAAAAACCAGCCTGCACAACTATGAAAGCCTATATGTTAAACAATTTTGCTAGAGTACAACATTTTTATATATTCAATGGTTTACGAAATTACGAGGGTATCGCAATAATATGAAATTGCAGTAAAATTGCCTGTACAGAACACTTTTTAAACTATGTCTATATACCTAAATGTTTTAATCAAAAGTAAAGAATATAATAAAATACATATAATGTATAATGTATTCATTATTCTAAGTCTTTTCCATAGTAAAAAGTGTTCCTTTTTTAAATTCGTTCCTTAACTTAACAAGTTTAAATATTTTTTTTTCTTTAGTAAATTATCTATTTTTTATAAATATTAATAATGCATACAATTAGCATATATAAACCTATTTGCTTATTCACAGAATAAAACAGTAATATTTCCATGCCATACCTTAATGTACTAGCAAGTAGCAACATCATAGGAATGATTAGTTTTTACAACTTTTAGTTGATTTCTTGATGGATACAAAAAGTGTGTTGCTACCTACATAATAATACATTTTTGTCAAAACAAATAGGTGATACATTAATCATTATAATATGTACAATGAACATAAATTAAATAGCACAAAAGCCAAACTTGTGGGGGGGGGGGGGAGAGCGGTTCTTATATAGCATAAGTAATAGTATATAGTAAATATTATATTTGCTTCATAATATAAAGTATCTATTGTTTGTTCAGATAATAAAATCGAAGTATCATCAGCAAAGCTGATAAGTTCATAGGAATTTTTAAGAGATCATTAATAAATATTATGAATAATACAACTGTGTCTTGTGGTACCTACACCACAAGATACTTTTTGTATTTCACTATACTGATCATTGAGTTTGACTCTTTGAGTTCTACCATTTAGGAAGGAAATCAGTAATCTATTTGGTATACCACGAATACCTGCATGTTCTAATTTATTAATCAATAGTTTATGAACAACACAATCAAAAGCTCTCTGAACATCTAAAAAAATGCCTATTACCTTATTATTATTGTCAATATTTTTTCTAGCAATGTTGTAAACTTTCAAAAGTGCACTTATAGTAGAATATCCACATAAGATACATAAGATGTTTTCTACTTCTAAATAGTAGAATGCATACTGCATAGTAGCATCCTAGTACCTGAATCAGTTGTATTCTTGTTGAGTATAATTTTATATTGTATAAGAAGTAACATCATGTTGTGCAATAGTAACATCGTTGTAAACCACACCATATGTGTAACAAGGTAAATTGGTCACTTGTATATAAAGCCGACTTTTAGCATACTATAGAAACTACAGTATGATATTACTTATTACTAAAAACAG